ACTGTAGAAGAATATTGACTATATACTATAGACTGCCAAAAGAATGCACAAATCCATCCTGGAAGAAATACAGCCAGAGAACTTGTTAGTGTCCAGAGGGGACAGCTTGAGGCCCTCAATTCTCTCGCTGGGATGCCTTTTTAACTCTGACCTTGGCCCTAGCCGATCTTGAAGACCCCCATTTCCACCTATACCTCCCATGGTAAGAAAGTCATCTGCTCAAAAGTTGTGAAGTATACAAAGAGCCGGGCTCAAGGTACTGGATCCCCATCCCAACCTAGGTCAGAAATGTCTCTCCAGGAGTTATGGACATAAATTATGTCCCCCCAAAATAAGTGTTAAGTTTTAAGCACTTTGGAGTCCTAGTGTGTGGCGTTGTAGGGTAAGTGCAGGAGCGCACGGGCTATTTGAACCACTAAGGTCGATGGCTCACATTCATCAGCTGCTCCTTGGAAAACCTAGACATGAGTTGACACCGACCTGCTGGCACTTAGCAACATCACCACCAGCATACTTAAGGAGGAGTGCAGAATACTGCACTGGATTATCACTTCACAATAACAACAAATTACTTAAGGATATAATCTATTTGGAAATAAGGTTTCTTTGCTACGTTATGGGTCGGAACCAACCATTATCAGGGTTGTTGTTGTTAAGTGCTGTCAAGTTGGTTCCAACTCATAGCAACCCTGAACAGGGTTTCTGAGGAGTGGCTAGTGAGCTTGAACCATCAACCTTGTGCTTCAAACAAACCTTGTTGTTCAGCGCATTAACCCACAGAGCTCACCACTGGACCAATAAACAGCATCCCTGTAAATGGAGAAAGACTGAAATTGTCAAAGACTTCATTTTGCTCAGATCAGCCACCAACACTCAGGAAAGCAGCAGTTAAGAAATCAAATGACATATCACATTAGGCAAATCTGCTGCACAAGACCTCTTTAAAGTGTTCAGGGGCAAAGATGTCAGCTTGAAAACTAAGATGCGCCTAACCCAAACTGTGGTATTTTCAATAACCTCATATGCATATGAGAGCTGGACAGTGAATAAGGAATACGGTAGAAGAATGGATACACTTGAATTGTGGTGTTAGAGGAGAATATTTAAGATATAAACCAAGCTGATCAGGCACAAAGAAGAAAGCCACGTGGAGATCACCAATGAACAATGAACAGAAGTTGAAGAGACCTTCTTCATGAGCCGACATGGAGAGCCTTCCCCTAGAGCTGGGAGCCTAAATTCAGACTTCTACCTCCTGGTGTGGCACTGCTGGGCCTGGTGTGGTACTAGAGGATAAGTGCTCGACCACAAGATCAGTTTGAGCCACAAGGGTCAAACTTGCCAACTGCTACTTGGAAACTCTATACAGGGTCGCTGTGGGTTGTAACTTCCTCAACGGCACTTCACACAGTCTCCTAAACTGAGAAAATACATTTCTGCTCATTAAGGCCACCCACATGCAGGATTTGTTACAAGCAGCCCTAGATAAGCTGTGGCGCTGTGGGTTAATGCACAGACTGCAAAGCCTTTTGAACTGCAAGGTTGGCAGTTTGAGCTCACCAGCCGCTCCTTGGAAACCCTATACGGGGTCACTATGGGTCGGAACTGACTCGAGGGCACTTCACAACAACAAAGATAAGCTATGCCACCGGTATTTTAAATACCAACAGGGTACGCCATGGTCAACAGGTTTCAGCTGGGCATTAGGAGAGGCGGACTACTTCTGAATGTTTAGTCACTGAAAACCTTATGAACAGCAGTGGAACACTGTCAGCACCACAACACTGAATACTGAAACATGACAGAACACCAGGATACTGTCAGATATAATGCTGGAAGATGAGCCCCTCAGGTTGGAAGGTACTCAAAATACAACAGGGGAAAGAGCTGTCTCCTCAAAGTAGAGATGACCATGATGCCACAAATGGAATAAAGCTTCAGGACCTTCATTTGCTGATGGGGCACAACTCAAAATGAGGAGCAACAGTTAAAAAGAATAACTCCAGTTAAAAATAATAAATCTGGAATGTACTAAGTATGACTCTAGAAAAATTGGAAGTTGTCAAAAATGTAATGGAACACATAAAGATTGATATCCTAGGCATTAATGAAGAGTCCTGGTGTGGCACTACAGAATAATGTGCTGAACCACAAGGTCGGTTTGAACTGCAAGGTCAGTGGTTCAAACTCACCATTTGCTCCCTGAAACCCTACACAGGGTCATTATGAGTCAGAATCGACTCGACGGCACTTAATAACAAGTGAGCGAAATATGGACTGGTATTGGTTTACTATGCTGGGAATGACAAATTGAAAAGGAATGGCATCACAGTCATCATCAAACAGAACATTTCAAGAACTATCATGAAGTACAATGTTGTCTGTAATAAGATAAAACCCATATGCCTACAAGGAGTCCTGATGTTGTGCTATGGGTTAATGCGCTAGACTGCAAAATCAGATTGAACCACAAGGTCGGCAGTTCAAGCTCACCAGCCGCTTCTTGGAAACGCTATACACAGTTGCTATGAGTCAGAACCGACTCGACAGCACTTAACAAGGAAGACCAGTTAATACCACTATTAATTCAAATTTACACACCAACCACTAAAAGCCAGTGGTGATGAAATTGAATAATTCTACCAACTTCTTCAGGAGCTCTGGTAGTGTAGTGGTTACGAGTTGGGCTGCTAACCTCATGGTCAGCAGTTCAAAACTACCAGCAGTTCCACGGGAGAAAGATGAGACTTTCTGCTCCCGTAAAGATTTACAGCCTCGGAAACCCTGTGCAGGGTCGCTATGGGTTGGAACCAACTTCTTCAGTCTGAAATTCATCAAACATACATTCAAGCTGTGTTGATAATTACTGTGATTGGAAGATTAGAATGCAAAGGATGGAAACAAAGAGAATGTCTTCAGTCTGAAATTCATCAAACACGCAATCAAGCTGGAACTACAGGAATGCAAGGGTTAAAAACAAAGAAGAAGAATCAGTCATTGGCAAACACGGCCTTGGTGATAAAAATGATGTTGGAGATCGCATGACAGAATTTTGTAAGACTGTTGACTTACTCATTGTAAATACCTTTTTTAAACAACTTAAAATACACGTGGACCTCACCAGGTGAAATATACAAAAATCAAATTGACTACAACTGTGGGAAAAGACAGTGGAAAAGCTCCATATCATCAGACAAAAACAAGGCCAGGGACAAACTGTGGAACAAACCATCAATTGTTCACATGCAAGTTCAGGCTGAAGCTGAAGAAAATTAAAACAAGCCCACTAGAGCTAAAATCTGACCTTGAACATGTTGTTGTTGTTGTTGTTAAGTACCGTAGAGTCGGTTCCAACTCATAGTGACCCTGCACAGGGTTTCTGAGGCTGTACCTTGAACATACGCTACCTAAATTAGAGATCATCCCAAGAATTGATTTCATGCATTAGACATTAATGAGCGAAAACTAGAAGAGTTGTGGGATGAAATCAGGAACATCACATAGGAAGAAGAAAGGTAAAGAAATGGATGTCAGAAGAAACTCTGAAACGTGCTCTCAAGTGTAGATGCTAAAGCAAATGGAAGAAATGAAGTAAAAGAGCTGAACAGGAAATTCAAAGGGCAATTCAACTTTACAACATCAAGTATTATAATGACGTGTGCAAAGACCTAGAGTCAGAAAACCAAAAGGAAAAAATGTGCTCAGCATTTCCCACGCTGAAAGAACTGAGGCAAAAATTCCAGCCTCAACTCGAATATTGAAGGATTCTATGAGAAAAATATTGAATGATGCAAAAAGCATCAAAAGATGGAATGGATACAGAGTCATCATACCAAAAAGAAACGGACAATGTTCAACCATTTCAAGAGTTAACATGTTATCAAGAGCCAATGGCAATGAAGAAAAAAGTCCAAGCTGCACTGAAGGAAGGTACTGGCAAATAACAAGGCTCCAGGAATTGATGAAATACAAATTGAAATCTTTCAATAAACTAAGGCAGCACTGGACACTCTCCCTCATCCATGCCAAGAAATTTGGAAAACGCCACTGGACCAATAAACAGCATGATAAATGGAGAAAAGATTGAAGTTGTCAAAGACTTTATTTTGCTCGGCTCAATCGTCAACACTCATGGAAGCAGCAGTCAAAAAATCAAACAATGTACGACATTAAGTGAATCTGCTGAACAAGACCTCTTTAAAGCATTCAAGAGGAAAAAAGTCAGTTTGAAAACTAAGGTGTGCCTGACAAAAGCCATGGTATTTTCAGTAGCTTTTTGTGCATGTGGAAGTGAAACAGTGAATAAGGAAGACCATAGAAGAATTGATACATTTGAGTTATGGTTAGAAAAGAATATTATTAAGTACCATGGATTGCCAAAAGAACAAATAAATCTATCTGTCTTGGAAGAAGTATAGCAAGAAAAGAATGCTCCTTAGAAGCCAGGATGGCCAGACTTTGTCTCTCAAACTTCGGACATATTATCAGGAGGGACCAGTTCCAGGAGAAAGAAACCATGCTTAGTAAAGCGGATCGTCAGTGAAAAAGAGGAAGATTTCTAACGAGATGGACTGGCACAGTGGCAGCAGCAATGGACTCAAGCATAGCAGTGATTGTGAGGATGTTGCATGACAGGGCAGTGTTTCGTTCTGTTGTGCATAAGGTCACTATGAGCCACAACCAATTCAACGGCACCTAATAACTAAGACACCAAGTAAGGGAAGGGTGGCCTGCGAGAATCTTCTGGGCACGCGGAGAACAGCAAGACAGACCTAGCATAGGCAGGAAGGTGGTGCTGCAGAGAGCTCCCAGCTTTATTTACTGACATGTAACAGAACCCCCCTCACACACTCAAAGACCCCACTGGAATAACATCCACTTCTTTGTCCCCAGGAGGTAGACAGGCCTGGGTCTACCTGCCTGCCGGACCAAGGAGGGTGGGGCTCGAGTACATCTCCAGCCCTGGGGGGATTGCAGAAGTGCTGTCCTCCTCCAAGTGGTCAGTCCTCAGGTCTGCTGCCATGGGGTGCAGAGCGGAGTGACCTGGATTCTAACCAGATCGGGGTAGGGGGTGGAGCCCGCGTTGGCAGTGCCTGGGTGGTGAATGCAGAGGTGAGATTAGAGGTTGCCCTGTTCTAGCCTCGCCCCCTCGCCCCTCCTGTATCTGAGTCAGGGTCAACTTTTGGGGTAGGAGAGAGGGGTGGGGCAGCTAGCAGAGATTGGAGAAGCCTCAAGGGATGTCTTGGTTTGGGGCCAGGAGGAAAAGGGTCCTGCAAAAGACTTCTCAGCTGGGGACTCCCCACCCCTACCCTGCCCCTAAGAGGGTTCTGTGGACCCCAGGCCTGCTCCAAGGTACTCATCCCTCCCAGGGCACCCAGGGCTAGGGACACAGCTCAAAGCATACCAGGCGGGTAGGGCTGGTGGCAGACAGCTTCCGGTGCTGGACTTCTGAGGAGATGCAGGACCAAAGGTCCAGGTTCCTGGGTGCTGAACTTTTCTCCGGCTTAGGAGGAATGATGTCCCAGCCCAGCAGGCAATGCTAGGGAAAGGAAGGGGTTACACACAGCTGGGGCATGGCTCCCCAGGGAGGGGCTGGGAGCATACCCTGGGACAGGGCTATGCCCCCCACATTAGGCTGGAGGGACTCCCTGAAGGGAAACAGCCTCCCTACTCGGAGCCACAGTTCTCCCAAAGAAGGATAGGCCTCAGACTGAGGCCTCACCATCCCCATTACAGATGTGCTTTTCACACCCATTGCATAGAAGAGGAAACTGATTCTCCCCTGCACCCCTCTCCCATTCCCATTCAGCCCACCACCAGGGGTAGGTGGGGCTCTGACACCCCCACTGCCCAGGGGATACACAAGGGGGAGCTCTGGAGAAAGACCCTGATTCAAATCCCAGCTCTTGCATCTGGCTGATCTTGGACAAGTCCCTGCCCCTCTCTGCCTCGGTTTCCCCATCTGTAAAGCAGGGGTAACAGCATTACTTGCTGTCTAGATTACTGGGACGACGTATATAGCACAGGAAGAGTTCAATAAATAGAGCCACTCTGGTTTGTCACTGTGAGGGGTTCTAGGAGGGCAGACACTCATCCTAGAAGCCATGGGGCGTGGGGCCCCACTGCCCAGCCTGGAACTCCAAAGGCTTGGCTTCTGGTGTGCCCCAGTCCAGCCTCACTGTGTGGCACTGGGGACCTGGGCTGGATGGGAACAGCATCCCCAAGCAGCTTACCCGGGGCAGGGCCAGTGTGTCGGAGGCATCGAAGCTCTTGCGCCGGTGGATGCGGTAGCGGTGCGGGGGCTCCAGGACGGAGAGTGGGATGCTCACTCTGGGCAGGGGGTGTTGAGACATCAAAGCAGGCACTAGATGTCTTCCCCCATCCCAGGTGTTGCTACCACTGCCCTGTCCACTCACCTGACCTGCGCGGGCTCCGCCAGGGTCTCAGGACCACGCTGGCCCCGTGGAGTCCTGCACAGGCGACAAGGGGTGCCAGGATCCGCAGGTACCAGAAATAGACGTCGGTTGACACGGTAACAGTACACACCTGTGAGGTCCAGGAGACGCCACACCCTCAGGGTCCTCAGTCTGCAGGTACCTTCTGTCCTGACCGCATGAGCCCCACCATTCCCTCTGGGCTCATGGATACACATGTGCTCTCATGTAAAAAGTGAGCCTGTGACACACACACACACGCACGCACACACCAAGCACACAATGACGTTTTCAAATGTGGGTTCATGCGCTGGACTGCAAGGGCGGTTTGAACTGCAAGGTCGGTGGTTCAAGCTCACCAGCTGCTCCTTGGAAACGCTATACAGGGTCGCTATGGATTGGAACCAACTCGAAGGCACTTCACAACAACAACATCACCAGTGGACTCCTGGTGTGGTACTGTAGGATCAGCACTGGATTGCGAAACACCAGGTGCTCCTTAGAAACCCTACACATGGTCTCTGAGTAGGAACCGACTCCATGGCATTTAACAATGTCACAAGTACACACGCAAAGCATGTTCTTAGTCACCTTCATGAACATACCCACCTGCATGTACTTAAATACCATACAGAGTACAAGCTATACACTCACAAATGCACCCCCCACACATAAATGTAATCACTCACATTCATGGTCCTCGTCCACATCACCGCTCTCAAGAAGGCTGAGAAACTGGGGTCTGTGAGGGGGAGAGGGGTGAGCAGGCCAGGGCAGGTATCCCCGAGCCACCCTGTCCACCCCTCGCTGGGGCGCTCACTCAGGGTCATTGGAGATACACTCCTCCTTGTTGACCTCCCGGAACTTCTGGAGTTTCGAGAAGAAGGCCTTGGGCTTGCCGGTGACAGGTGAGGTGCTGTCCAGAGATCCTGGAGGGCAGAGCATGGGGTCGCTCAGGGGCAGGCTACTGGTCAGAGTTGAGGGACTTTCAGCCCCAGCATCCCACTTCTCCCACTGGGGCCTCCTCCTGAGGACTGTTGTCTTTGAGACTGTGTCTGCTACAGATACCATTCAATCATCCATTCAAGGTGCTGTGGGTTTAATGAGCCAGACCACAAAGCTATTTGAACCGCAAGGTCGGCGGTTCAAGCTCACCAGCTGCTCCTTGGAAACCCTATACAGGGTCGCTATGTGTCAGGATCATAGTGACAACAACAACACTAAGGACCCTGTCAGCATGGTTGAAGTGGTTTAAGACTAGGTGATGTGGAGTCCTGGTGTGGCAATGTAGAACTGGATTGCAAACCACTAGGTTGGTGGTTCAAGCCCACCAACTGCTCCTTGGAAATCCTATACAGAGTTGCTGTCAGTTGAAACCAACTTGATGGTACTTCCTAACAACTGGGTGACACAGAGTGCCTGGATGGGACAAACTATTTAACAGGCCTGGCTGCTGACCAAAAGGCCAGTGGTTCAAACCCACCAGCCGGAGTGGAAGAAAGATGAGGCAGTCTGCTTCCATAAAGGTTGACAGCCTCAGAGCAGGTCTACTGTCCTGCAGGGTCACTACGAGTCAGAACCAACTTAACAGCAGTGGGTTTGGGGTGTTTTTGTTTTACTATGTTGCCGAGTGTTTTAAGTGCTAGGGAAACACCAGCAACTGTCCTGAAATCTACATTCTAATATGCGGGACAGATGAACCAAGGACCAGAGACATCTGTAACAAGATCAAATGGTGATGACCGCTGAAAGGCAGAGAGCAGGTCAGAGAGCAAAGAGTGGCAGGGTGGGGTGGCCAGGGAAGGTCTCTGACGAGATCAACTGAAGGGACAGAGCCATGTGGACATCAAAGGCAAACAGAGCAAGCACAAAGGCACTGAGGTACGCAATATGCTTGAGAAGGCAAAGTGTATGGCAGGGAGTAAGGGCTGAGGGCTGAGATGAGGTAGGGAGCCCTGGAGGTTCGGGACTCAGAACAGTAGCCATGCATTTTACAGAAGTTCTCCTCTAGCTGCTGTACCATTGGGGGGGGCGGGTTAGGCAGTTAGGAAGCTGCTGCAGGCACCCTGGTGGAGAGAAACAGCCGGTTCTAGAAGTATTTTGAAAGCAAGGCCAACTGGGTTTGCTAATGGACTGGATGAAAAGTAAGTGACAGAATCAAGGACAATCGCAAAATTACAGCCTGAACTATGAGGCACACGGATTGTCACGTACAGAGATGGAAAAGATTACAGGAGCAGCAGATAGGATGGAAATCAGAACTCTGACTCTGGACATGAGATTAATATATGATACTTCATCTATCAACAAGAAACCCTCGTTGCACTACCGGATAAGCATGGACTGATAACCGCAGGCTGGCAGTTCAAACCCACCAGTCGCTCTTTGAGAGAAAATGAAGTTTTCTGCTTCCATAAAGATTTACAGCCTCAGAAACCCTACACAGGGTCACTGAGTTTAGTTGGTGATTAGTCTATCAATAGATGAATGGATACACAAATGAAGTCTGTCCATACAACGGGACATTATTTAGCCACAAAGAGAAATGAAGTTCTGATACATGCCACCAACACGGGCGAACCTTGAGAACAAGATACTAAATAATCAGGCACAAAAGGACAAGTAATAGAGGACTCCTTTATTTGAAACATCTAAAATAGGCAAATGTATGAAGTCAAAAGTTTACTCATGGTTACCACGGACTGACTGAAGGGTAGGAGGGAACTGGGAGTCACTGTTTGAGGGGTACTGATTTTTCATTTACTGAAAAGCTTCTGGGAGATAAAACATTTTTGAGACAAAGAATAGTGATGTTGCACAATACTGTAAATGTAATTAATATCATTGAATTGTAAGCGTAAAACCAGTTAATCCAAATAGCAATCATTTGCTATATATATTTTCCCTCCAACACTCATCTCTCAGTTTGTTATACTGTAGCAGCTTGCAGTTGCTGTGATGCTGAGAGCTATGCCACCGGTATTTTAAATACCAGCAGGGTTACCCATGGTAAACAGGCTGCAGCAGAGCTTCCAGACTAAGACGGACTAGGAAGAAGGAGAGGCAGATCACTTCTCAATGTTTAGCCACTGAAAGACTTATGAATAGGTGTGAAACACTGCCAGATACAGTACTGGAAGATGAAAAACTTATGCACAGCAGCGGTTCGCTACTAGATACTGTGCTGGAAGATGAACCCCTCAGGATATAAGGCACTGAAAGTATAACTAGAGAAGAGATACATCCTCAAAGTAGAGTTAACCGCGATAACAAGAATGTAGTAAAGCTCTTAGGACCTTCATTTGCTGATGGGGCACAACTCACAGTGAAAAGAAACAGCTGTAAACACCCACCTGATAATCGGAACATGGAATGCAAGAAGCATGACTCTAGGAAAATTGGAAATTGCCAAAAATGAAGTGGAACATATAAACATCGATATCCTAGTCATTAGTGAGATGAAATGGACTGGTAATAGCCATTTGAATCTGACAATCATAGTTTACTAGGCCGGGAAAAACAATGAATGCTGTCCTATTCATCATCAAAAAAGAGTATTTCAAGATTTATCTTGAAGTACAATGCTGTCTGTGAAAGGATAATATCCATACACCTACAAGGAAGACTAGTTAATATCACTATTATTCACGCAATGATGAAATTGAAGAATTCTACCAACTTCTTCAGTCTGAAATTGATCAGACACGCAATCAAGATGGATTGATAATTACTGATGACTGGAATGGAAGGTCAGTGGTTGGAAAATTTGGCCTTGGTGATAGAAAATATGCTGGAGATCACATGACAGGATTTTGCAAGACCAATTATTTATTCATTGCAGAAGATGTGAGACAGGAACAAAGGACCCTAGGACCATCAAGAGGGAAGAGCATGAGTGGAGCATGGGATCTTAACCAGAGAAGCAGCGACACCAGAGACTGTGGTAGAGCCAATGACATAGAGAGAGAGCAGCTGAGGACTCTAGACCACGGAATGAGAAAGGCTGTGGCTGGCTTGCAAAATGTGCCCTGTGGTCATTTAAATGAGTATTTATTTTCTGTGTGTTCTGTGTCCATCAAAAAATAAAAGGGGGGGGCGTGGGAATAGATGTAAAGACTGTTAACCGATGGTGCACGGAAGGGATTGTAATCATTACAATGAAACAAAATATGATTGGTTGAGTGTAAAACTGATGATGTGCTCTGTAAATTGTCACTCAATTGACAATAAAGCTTAAAAAAAAAAAAAAATTACAGTAGCTCTGACTCATTCACTCATTCATAAAACACCAGGTAAGCACCAAGCCTTGCCTCTCACTGGGTCAGGGGCTGAGAAAACAAGCCCAGTACAGGATTGCTCACCAAGAGCAGCAGACAGACGACAGCACCAGCACTTGGGAGAGGCTCAGGCACCTTCCCAGGCAAGATGGATGCCCACCCTCCACCCCCAGGAAACAGTGGGCCTAGGTTGTGGGCCATACCTGCAATCCAATCGTAGCCTAGGTACGGCCTAAGGCGCCAGCTCCACTCAGGCACTGTGGGCTCATGGCTGAAGGTCACTCTGTGCTGCAGAGGGAAGCAGAGGGGGCAAGGGCTGGACCTGGAGGCCTGATCCAAGAGGCCTCAAAACTTGGGGAAGAAAAACAGCTGTGTCTTAACTCACACTCTGACTTGGGACCCAGGGCTCAGGAATTTCAAAATCAAGGATTTGGTCGCCTCTGTTTCTGTGAAGATTTACAGTCTTGGAAACGCTATGGGGCAGTTCTATTCTGTCCTATACAGTCCTATGAGTAGGAATCAACTCCACGGCAATGAAATGTGTAACTTGGAACACCTCGGTCTTCCCATCTGTAAAATGGGACTCTTCACCCTCTTCCCAGAGCGCCATCTGAGAAACTAATGACCACCACTTCTCCAGTACCTAGGCTAAGCTAGACACGACTCACACAGTAGCTTCGGGAAGCCTCACAAACTGCAGTGAAGGCCACCCTTGAGGCTGTTTGTTAGGTGGGGAAATTGAGGCTGAAGGAAGATCCCACGGATGCCCTGCCACCCCAGGTACCTTGGATGGTTTGTTAGGTCGAGGAGTCGGGACGCAGCTCGGGGCCTCCTGGAGCCCCCGACCACCCAGCCATGCCGTAAGCTCTGGGTCATTGAAGTCTGAAGTGACCGGCAAGGGTGCTGAGTGAGGTCTCGGTTGGTTCAGGGACTTCTGGTATGAGCACTTGGGGGTTGGGAGAGAGACTGCCAGGGAGCTGGTCCTGATAGGCCAAGCCTGATCACCAGGGCCATCTTGGAGGGTACCCAGTGAGGAGGAGGCTCTCGAGGTCATTGAGGTCATCTGCTGGGATGATGGCATTTCTGCCTCATAGCTGCTGCTGGGGTCCAGGCTTGACTGAAGGACAGGGGCTAGGTCATCCAGAGGTATCCCACTCCCAGGTGCCCCACCCAGCTGGCCTGTGCTAGGCACATAACTCTTTGTCCTCCTCCCTGCTCCAGCCTCAACACTGTCTCAGGCCAGTCTCTTTCCTCACTGGGCCTCTGTTTCCCGATCAGTAAAATGGGTGGGTTGGACGAGAAGACCCTGGGAATGTGGATTTTAGACTAAGGGTGAGGCATCCCCTTCCTGCACCCACCTCAGAGACTGCCTCAGCCACAGAGCGCCGCACAGCATCCTGGCCAGCCCACAGCTGCCTCAGGAGCTCCATGTTCCGCCTCCGTAGCTGCACCAAGTCCTCAGTTTCCAGCATCTTGGACATGTCATTGAAAGTCCCACAGAGAGTATCACTGACCTCGGGGCTGGGGGTGCCCTCAGGGCTATGTTCCAGGCCCAGTTCTTTTACCTGCAATCAAGATAGCATGGCACGGGGTGAGGAAGGTGCCCTTTGGGCCAGAGACCTGGGTTCGAATCCTCACTCTGGTACTTCTTAACAGTGTAGTCTAAGGCAAGTAGTTTAAGCTCTCTTAGAGGTTAGAGAAATTTACACATCATCAGGAAGAGAAGATAATAGTATCTATCATAAGGTTGTCATAACGATGAAACGCTCCAATACAATGATGGGCACACAGGAAGAATTCAACGGTTGCTTTTAATTGTTGTTGCGTCAACTCTGACTCATGGAGACTGTGTGTGTGCAGAGAACGACTCCCCAGGATTTTCACGGCTGTGCCCTTTCAGAAGCAGATCTCCAGGCCTGCCTTCTGAGGCACTGCTGGGTGGGTTCAGACCGCCAACCTTCTGACTAGTAGTTAAGCACTTAACCATTTGTGCCACCTAGGGCCCAAGCATTCAGTAAAAATACCTATTAGTATGAAAGATGACTGTTCAGAATGTGTCTCCTTACCTGCCAGAAAAGAATAACTCCCTCAACTATGAAATCTGACTAATTTGTAGAAACCACCACCTGTCAGTCTGTCACCCTGTGGTGGCTTACATGTTGCTTTGATGTTGGCTACTGTGCCACCAGTATTTCAAATACCAGCAGGATCACCATGGCAGCCAGGTTGCAGAGACACTTCCAGATTGAGATCGTCGAGCGAGGAAAGAAGACAGATTAGGATCTATTTCTGAAGATCAGCTATGATCACAAGAGAACATTGTCCAACTCGCTTGCTTTGGATACATCATCCGGAGGGATCCGTTACTGGAGGATATCATCATGTTTGGTGAAGTAGAAGGTCAACCAGAGAGATGGAGGCCATTGGTAAGATGGATTGGCACAACAACCCAAGCAATGACAGGCTCAAACATGCCAGCAATTGTGACAATGATACAGGACCAGGTAATGTTTTGTTCTGTTGTTACCCCAAATTAGGGCTCATGGCCCTGGAGTCTTGGAACCAAATTCACTAACTCCAAGTTAGAGAGAAAAAGAGTTTTATTAGAAGGTGGTACCAGCAGGGATTCCAATTGCAAAGTAGGCTGTCTTAATGGAGGCCCAGGTGTGATCAGCATCCATAGTCTCTGTATACTTCCACATTGGCAATGCACACTCTGGGGTGTCAAGTACGTTCCAGTTTTATATTACTTACAGGAGTCCTCGTGGTGTTGTAGGATAAGCCATGGGCTACTAACAACAAGGTCGGCAGTTTAAACCCACCCACCACTCCGAAAAAGACGAGGCTTTCTGTCCCCATAAAGATCTATTGTCCTGGAAACCGTATATATGGTCACTAAGAATGAGAACTGACTCGATGGCAGTGGGTTTGGGTTTATGTTACTTACTCATAACCCACTACACTTCAGGGGCTCCTTCCACAAGACAATCACAAAATGTAAATGTGAACTATACCTATCAGATATAAACAAGGGTAACATTTGTGAAGAAGATTCCATGTCTTAACGACTCTCCAGGCACAACTGTTTAGATGACACAGAAGGGTAGCATCTGTGACAATCTGACATCTGGGTGGTGACACACCTATATCAGACCTTGAGCAATACAAAAAGTTTTTTAAAATTCCACAGAGGCTGGGTGAAGAACAGGTAAACATGGCACAAGTTAGACTGCCTACAAACATGGAGTAAGTCAGGTTAATACTAAATGATAGTACTTTAATAGGTTACATTGTTGTACATAAGGTCCCCATGATTCAACTTGACAGTAACTATTTACCTGTCCTGTAGAAAACACTTGCACATGTAAATCGTAACAATGCCTGAACCCGACGAAATCAGGCTCCTGAGGACTCATTCCTTCTTCTAGACCTCTCTTTTTTCTATCTTTTTATAGATGAAGAGACCAAGGTTCAGAGACGTTAAGTAACTAGTCCCAAGTGACACCGTTAGTAACTGTCAAAGTGAGGATTCAAACCCAAATCTGGCTCCAGGGTCCATAGTCTGGATTTGGGGGAGCCTCCCCCTTCTCTCCTCCTAAGCCTTGACCGCCCAGGGATGCAATCTCTGGAAGGAGAGATTCTGGAAGGGATTTCTGCAGGCTGGCAAGGGGCTTCTCACTTCTCTCAGAGTCCGAGACCCAGAGACCCCAAGTAGAAAGCCTCCCCGAGTGCGCGCCGTTCCATTTTAACCCAGCACCTAACCAGGCATTTTGTCCTCAGCACCCGCAAATACACGCCTCTCCTCAGGCCGGCTGCAGGGACTAGGGCAGAGAAACCAGACGCACGGAAACGCCCCTCTAACCTGCACATGCCCCGCCGGGAGGTAAGCCGCCAGGTCTACAAGCCTGGCCGTCCCGCCCAAGCTACGATGGGCCATACCCCTAGTGGTCCGCGGGCCTTGGTTTGGCACGGGGTTAAAGGAACAGACTGCACGGACCTTCTCCCAGCTCCGTCTGGGTCGGGAGTTAAAAGCCGAGCCAAAGCACCTGAAAGTGACGCTCAAAAGAGAAACTGGAGTAAAAGTCAGAGGCAGCTATCGAGGACGCAGAGGCAGGGCCCAGTTAAACAGAACACCATCACCGCCCCGAACCTCCGTACCGCACGTGAAGTTGACAGCCGAGCCCCAATCTCACCAGTCCCAGCGCAGACGCTGCCGCAACTCACAGCCCGGAAGCCCCAAACCGCGCAGCCGCCGCAGTCGCAACTCGGAGTTCGCCCCGCCCCGCACGTCTTCAACTGGGGGGCGAAACCCGGGTTGATGACCCTGATTGGTCAGAGGTGGGGCGCTCCCGCTAAGCGTTTCTCCGCGTTCCGAAGCGGTAGTTTCAATTGTGGGGCGTGGCAGAAAGCCGAGTTCAACAGCCGATTGGTCAATTTACGAGTCCAGGACGTCCTGGAGGCCGATTTTCGGAATGGAGGCGGCCCCGGAGGGCACATTCCGATTGGTCAGGCGCGGACCGCGGGCTAAGCCGCGTTTGTTAGCAGCAGTTTCAGGCTGGCGGCGTAGGGAGGCGGAGCCTGGGTTTGGTGCTGGTCTTGGGTCGGATGCTGTGGCGTTCAGTAGTGTGATGTGGTAGGTGGCGGTTGACGCTCTGTTCTTTCATACTTCCGTGCATTTCATCCATTCGTATTTATCGAGTGCCTACTGTGCCCTGCCCAGAGGAGCCGTAGTAGCGTAGTGAATTATTTTCTGGGCTGCTAAACGCTAGGTCAGCAGTTCGAATCTACCAATTGCTCCTTGGGAGACAGATGAGACTTTCGGGCGCCTCCTTGTGCCAGGAGGCAGTTACTGGGCATCGGGAGACAGAAGAATCAAGAGGAGCCCTGCCTGGGGACAGGGGAAAGGTCGCGGGAAAATATGAGCATGGTTGTTAAGTGCCATCAAGTCACTTCCAAGTCATAGTGACCCGAGGATCCGCGGAGCAGCTGGTGGATTTGAACCTCCAACTTGTGGTTAGCAATCCAGTGCTAATCCTACAAGACAAAACCAGGAGATAATGAACATAAATATCTATAATCCAGACTGTAAAATATGAACCTACAATGTGCAGGTATTTGTGCTGTTGTTGTTGTTGTTAAGTGACACCCAGTTGGTACCGACTCATAGCAACCCTATGCCCAGCAGAATGAAACACTGCCGGATACTGGGCCAACCTCACAATTGTTGCTACGCTTGAGCCCATTGATGCTGCCACTTTGCTAATCCATCTCCTTGGGGGTTTTCCTCTTTTTCTCTGACCCTCCACCTTACCAAACATGATATCCTAATCCAGAGACTGGACCCTCCTGACAATATGTCTGAAGTATGAGAGACGAAGTTTGGCCATCCTGGACTCCAAGGAGCACTCTGGCTGCACTTCTTCCAACACAGATCTGTTGGCTCTTTTGGCAGCCCATGGCACTTTCAATATTGTCCTCCAACACCATAACTCAAAAGCATCAATTCTTCTACGGTCTTCCTTATTCACTGTCCAGCTTGTGCATGCCTATGAGGTTATTGAAAATACCATGGCTTGAGTCAGACGCACCTTAGTCTTCAAGCTGACATCTTTGCTCTTCAACACTTTGAAAAGTGTTGTGCAGCAGATTTGCGTAATGCAATACGTTGTTTAAATTCTTGGCTGCTGCTTCCATGAGTGTTGCTAGTTGGTCCAAGAAGAATGAAGTCCTTAACTGTAGAAAGAACAGGACATGTGTGAAACCCACTCTGAGGCAATTCTTAAACCAAAGAATGCTTTGATGAGAACCGCAAGGAAAACCGTGCATGCCAAAGATTATAAGAAAATATGTGTGCCTTACTATTATCTAGTAATAATAAACTCTAACTTTGTTGTGGTGCCCGGATACATCTCCTGCCTAAACTTGTACTTAAAGCTGTATTGTAGGTAATAAAGTTACTCTTGATTGATCATCTTGAGTCCCCTGCCGCTTTCATTTCCCCTCTACCTCTGGAGACCCCCTCGCACAGGCCGGTTCCTGCACTTAACAACTTCAATCTTTTCTCCGTTGGTAAGAATGTTGTTTATTGGTCCAGCGGTGAGGATTTTTGTTTTCTTTACATTGAAATGCAATCCATACGGAAGGCTGTGGTCTTTGATCTTCATCAGTAAATATTTTAAATCCTCTTCACTTTCAGCAAGCAAAGTTGTATCATCTTCATATCGTAGGTTGTTAATGAGTCTTCCTCCAATCCTGATGCCATATTTTTCTTCATAGAACCCAGCTTCTCAGATTACCTGCTAAGTATACAGGTTGAATAAATATGGTGAAAGAATACAACCTTGTTGCACACCTTTCTTAATTTTAAACTATTCTTTTCCACTCTACTTTGGAGTATGCTTATTGGCTGCATCATTCCAGGATATGAACCCAATTTTTGGGTAACCAGATTAGAAGGTACGTACAGTGAATG